CCCTCATCCTCACCCTTGCACCCTCATCCTCACCCTTGCACCCTCATCCTCACCCCTGCCTTCCACACACAGTCCCCAGTTCATCCCAATTGCACACTGGAATCCTCGGCGCTGCCCTGGCCATAATGGTCTCCTTCTCGTGCTCTCTCTCCCCAAACACCCACTGTGGCTGTCAGTAGCACCATGAGCTGGTTGTTTGGGTCCCTACAGGTTTCTCTGAATGGTCTGTGAGGTCAAAGCCTTGGGACTATCGTGGGAATGGAAGATGAGGCTGGGAGTCCTGATGGGTGAGCCCATGGTGGGACAGGGGGCATGGAGAACCTTGCTGGATCAGGGCACAAGATTTCATTTCTGCCCTTTCATTACCCACATGACTGCAAATTCCTTGTCTCTTAGGGTTTCATAAGAAGGGAGCCCATGGGATAGGAGAGGAAGTAAGCATTCTACTTGCTAAACAAGGAAACAGAAACCAAAACTGCAGCATTTACAAGAAACTAGCACTGGCAGTGCCATCCCCACTGCAATTAAAAGCTATCTCAAACACTCCACACCCTGGCCCTGAACCTGACCTGATCCTGCCCTTTTGCTTTTGTCTGGCATGTGCAACCAGGGCTGCCCCCCTCCAGCCCACAATGCCTGGGCTTTTCCTGTTGCTGTTGGAGCAGGTTCATTTCCCTCATCTACCAAATCCCTGCACCCACTGCAGGTCACCAGCTGTCCACACACACATACCCTTGCCCAGACCTCATGACTCCCTGTCCTCCTGTCCATCCTCTGCAGTGAGCAGGGAGTGGTTTGGGGTGCAGGAGCTCCTGTGGGGCAGGGTGGAAGCCCAGACACAGCCCTCCACCAGTAGACATGGGGCTAAGGTCCCCCAGATTGGGTGATGCCAGTGGGAAGCCCCACGCAATCCCTCCTACATCCTGGTTCCCACTCATCCCCATTCCCATCCCTGTTCCAGTCCTCATGCCCATTCTCACCCCCATTCCAGTCCCCATCCCCACCCTCACCCCCACCTTCAAGCCTCATCCTTGCCCCGTCCCCATCCCTCCCCACCCCTGCTTTCCAGCCCCATCCCTCTTCCTGTCCCTGTCCCCATCCCCATCCCTATCCACATCCCCTGTTCCTCATCCCTGTCCCCATTCCCACCCCTGTTCCCAACTCCTGCGCCTCTTCAAAATCCTCCTCTCCTCCAATGCCCGTCCCTGTCCCCGTCCCCATTCCCATCCCCGTTCCTCCTCCAAGTGCCGCCCCAGGGCTTTCCCGGAAAACAGCGGAGGACTTGGGATATAAAACACGGCGGCGGCACTGGCACGGCGCCTTTCGGTCTCGCCGCTGCATTCCGATGAGCCGCCGCTTCCTCTCTGTCCTCGCCCTGCCCATCGCGGCAGCCGTGGCCGCGGCCGCGGCGGGATGGCAGGTGGGAGCTTCTGCTGGGACCCACGAGTGGGAAACTCGGCCCCGGGAGAGGCTCAGTGGGAGCACGTCTGGGGGTCCCGGAGCTCGGGGAGAGACACGCGTAGGAGACTCACCGGAGTGGTGGGATATGATGGGGGAGCTGCAGCGCTTGTGGGAGAGGGACACGCGTGGAAGACCCATCTGCGGGGGGGAATCCCCGACAGCTGGAGGACCTCCTGCTCCACGGGGTACACAGACGTTGCCCCTGCCGAGGGAGGTGCTCCGAGGAGGGAAGGAATGTTCCGGGACTGTCTGAGTCCTCGAGAAGAATGTACATGGGAATTCCTTCCCTGCTGCAAGGGGGCACGTATGTGGGAACCCTGCACTTCTCCCCGAGGGACACGGAGGTGAATTGGGGCAGGGGAAGGATGGGGCCCCCGCCCTAGGGGTGTGACTTGCCCCTGCCTGGGAAGGTGCAGTATGGGAGAGGACAGACAGTGCTTAGAAGTGGAAGTGGAGCCTTGCAGGTGAGATGTGCAGGGCTCTGGCTGTGACACAGCCCACCATGGACCTCAGGGCTCCCCACTCATGCCACACGTGAGTGCTGAGCACCACACATGTCCCCACAGACATGGGCAGATGTGCCCTGGGCTCTCACAGCTCACTTGGCAGGGCTACAGCAGGGGGTGTGTTCTGTGTTCCTACCGGTCCAGGACTCCCACCTTTAGGTTTTCCTCTTCAACTCCCCCCTTTGCTCGGCTTACTCCAGCTTTTGGCCTGGCTGAGATAGCAGCGACTTTATAAGTTGTGTCTTTTAAAAACAAATGCCTGGGCACTCACAGGACTTCAGAGACACCCTGAAGTGCCACTTTTCACAGCTTGACCTCTGTTTTCTTTCTTTTCCATGCTCCTCTGCCAGGAAGCCGAGAACCCAAGGGGGAATAAGGCCAATGAGAACGAGGCGACCAACAGCAGGTGGTGGCAGGGCCGCTGGCAGAAACGCCCCATCAGGAGTGGCAAGGTGAGTGACAATATCCCGTGGGAATTGGGGGGTGCAGGCAGGGGGCACAGCCCGTGGGGCAGGGACTGTGTGCAGGCAGCCCCCTGGACACATCTGCCTGTCCCCAGCCATGCAACCTGACCGGCTGGTGGGAGAACGATCTGGGCTCCAGGATGCACGTGCTCGAGGTCGACGGTGAGGGCAACTTCTCTGGCGAGTACCACACTGCCGTGTCAAGCACTGACAAACCCATCCAGCCATCCCCCCTTGTTGGCTCCCAGCACCTGGACAAGGATGGGCAGTGCACCTTCGGCTTCACTGTCAACTGGAAGAAATTTTCAGGTCTGTAGCTGCAGCTACGGCTGCTTGCGGGTGGGGTGGTGGGATGGGGAGGGTAGCTCATGCATGTCCCGATGCCCATCCCAATCCCTGTGCTCTCTCTCCTGTCCCCCGTCTGTCCTTTCCTCATCCCTTCCCACTGTGGATGGTGTCTGCAGACAGCAGGGCACATCCTGAAACGCTGTTTGGGTGAGATGGCACCAAGAGTTGCTTTGGCAATATCTCTGCCACGCAACGTTTCCCTACAACCATCAAGATACACTCGAGCTCCATGAGCACTAAGTCCACTAGTGCTTGTGAAGCTCCAAAATCAGCTGGGGTCCTGCTGGGGTGCTAAAAGCCACCACTGCTCCAGATTCCACAGCTGTCTTCGTGGGCCAGTGCTTCTCTGGGGACAATGGAGATGAGGTCCTGCAGACCTCTTGGCTGCTGCGGGAGAAGGTCGACTCCCTGCCCAGTGACTGGAAAGCCACCAGGTAAGCCAAAGGACACCCAGTCCATCTGGGATCCCTACCCCTCTGCTGGCTGGGCACCAATGGGCTACTGGTTCCTCACAGGACTGGACACAACACCTTCATTCGGACAGCCTGAAAGAAGGGAGAAGTGTCTCACTCTCACCAGGCTTGGCAGACCAGGAGCCCCCTCAGCAAGATCAGTGGGTACCAGCTGAGAAAAATGGCTCCAGAATTACCAACATTAAAGATTTTTTGTTTAAACCAAACTTTGTGCAGTTTGTGGATATGTCCCAGGAAAGCTGGGCTAAAACGCTGCGGTGGGTGCAAGATGAAACTCTTATTGTCCTATTCTGGGAAGAGATTGGCCCCTAGAAATCCCTTTTTCCAGCCCAAACAGGATGGTGCCTCCCCAAAGTGACCCTCTGACACTAAGTGTGACCAGCACTTGCTCTTTTCTGCTCAAAGCCTCATGAGTGTAACGGGAGGATAGGCTGGGGAGCACTTCTGCACCCC